GCTCACCTTAAGATCTACAAAGCCAGTATAGTTACTTGAACAAGAAGATTTGAAACGTTATAAGTGGAAAAACAACCTTAATACAGGCATACTAGTAGCATCAAAAGAAATTGGAATCAGTATTAAAAACCCTATTTGGAAAGAAGACTAGAACATAGCCCCAAAAAAAGGTATAACAAACGAACTCAGAGGGCTATTTAGTAAAAAGGACTTAGATAAAAGTAGCCTCACTCTGAAAAACTTAAATCTATAGTACCTGGAACAAATAATCTCAAGGCACAACAACTCTATGCTCACTTGGCAACAAATTTGTAGAGTGCGAGACCTAACAACAAGAGGCAGAGTACCACTCTGGTTCCAGAAATTAGAAGATACAGTACTTCAGAACAAAACCTCCTGTAAAATTAAAGAATCTTTGAGACAGGCAAACGAAACAAATGAGAATCAAATACAAACAAAAAAAAGAAAACTATCACATAAGAGATCAAAAAAAGAATGGGTGATAGGAACTAAAAAAGAAAGCAACTTTTGTTTTGTTGAAAGAGTTTAAGAAAAGCACTCAGAAAACAAAATTCAAGTAACCAAATGGGCAGAAGAAAACAAAGAAAATGTGAACTTCACTGTCTCTTCCAAATTAGAAATAGTTCCTACTTCTAATATTATAGAGACAGAAAAAAGGGAATTAGAAGATATAAGCTTTTGGATTAAACAGAAAAAAGAGAGAGGTTGGGCTGTGTCTACTAGCTTCAAGTTTCTCAAAGATTTAGTAGTTCCAGAAAAATCCAGCGAAAAGGAAGATGAAACAGAAATAGTGCATCAAATTTCTATCGAAAACTGGGAAGTGCAACTTGTTAAAAATATAATAGAAAATGGTACCAAGCAATAGGAACTAATACAAGAAGTAAAAGAAAATCAGGTTTTTGGAGAATTAACTTTTTATACAGATGGCTCACTTGGAGAGGGGGGTATAGAAGAACATTATGCAAGATATGGGATAATTCAGATAGATGACAAGGGTAATATAGTAAGAGAAATTAAAGGTAGAATTTAAGGATGGTTTTCTTCAACTAGATCGGAACTTATGGCAATTCTAGGTGCGATACTAATTTCACCAAGCAACTCCAAGATAAACATCTTTACCGATAGCCAAGCAGCAATCCAAGCAATAGAGAGGATTCAAAAAACTAATAGTACAAGATTGTGGTGCAAGTTCAAAAACCTAAACATAATAGGAGCTATTGCCAAAAACCTAAACACCAAGAACTTGAATATATATCTCTTTAAAGTCAAAGCACATATGCGTAATATACTAAATGATCTAGCAGATAGAGCAGCAAAAAAGGGTACAAAAGAAGCCGAAACAACAAGAATTAATACAAATATATCCCAGGGAACAATATTTAAGCCAATGTGGAAAAATACAGCAATTGAAACTCCAATTCGTAGATTCTTTAAGAAATTTACACATACCTTCCACAAGGCCGAATGGTTATTTACAAACAACTCCAAAGACACAATCCATTTAAAAAGACCTACAAAACAGGATTGAAAAATCTTTAAAAGTCTGTGGAAAAAGGAGAAAAAAGAAAAAGGAAGGTTCTTCAAAACAAACAAGAAATGGAGCTTCAGACTTAAAAGTTTAAATGAATTGCTCCTGATGCTATATACCTGTAAAAGAAATCGAGAAGATATATACCCATCAGCTCTTTGTAGGAAATGTAAAAAAGAAGAGAAAGATTTTGATCATCTAGCTACCTGTGAAGTTGATGAAAACAAGTGGCACGACAAAGAGCAAGCAATTGCAAAGTAAATTGGACCAACTTAGACATGTATACAAAGAAGAAGCTCTCTCTAAACATGTTCTACCAAGTTCTTCTAGGAGAAGGAAAAATAGCACAATTGCAGAGAAGAAGGGAAATGGCGAGAGGTCTAATTGAAGCAGATCTAGCAATGACATTTAGATCAATTGGTGTCTTAAGACGGATCTCTGAAACAATAATTCTTGACTAGTAGAACAAGTGGCATACTTACTTCCAAGAAACAATTTGGCACCAGAGATGTAATGAAGTAGTATTATGGGAGAAGGAATTGCAGATAGACTCTAGGAAAAAAAAAGAAAAAGCGATCTGCTTTAATAGATTCCAAATTAAGAAGGAAACAAGAAATCGGTCTAGAAGATCTACCCCTAATAGATGAAAATAAGAGAAAAAGGAATAAATCAACCTGGTGGAACAATTATAAACATAAACTAGATATAGTAATAAATGAGATGAATAACTGGGTTTGGACCGGTAACTGGTCCAGGTGGAATACAAATTAAAAATAGATCATGACAGGCTGTAGATCCTGGCTAATGAACTGTGGATTCATTATCTGAGGTAGATAAAGAAGAAGCAGAGAAGCTAATTCTACTTTGGCAGGTCATACATAGGTACCAATGGTAAGCCACACTTTAGTTTGAGAAATAGTATAGCTATAAATAGAAATCACATTTTCTTTAAAAATGTAAAGCCTATATTAAAAATAAAGTTGTGACATGATTGCCAAAAAAAAAAAAAAAAAAAAAAAAAAAATTAGCAAATTTGTATAAAATTGATTGTTAGAATGAAAAATATAAAAGAAAAATTAATATTTCTGTAATATAAAGTTAATTTGGATAAATTTGGAAGTGATTAGATGTTACACAGAAATCGTGTATAGTGGAAAGTACAAAAAAAAGACAAAGAAAGTTGTAAAAAGAAAGTAAAAGAGAGTTAAAATAGTTTAAAGAGTAACTTCGTCAATTTTGATGCTACAGAGATGAAATATAGCTTGTTATGATGAGGAAAGTGTGTAGAACAACTTTTACTAAACGTATTGTATAGGTTTAGAATCAGGGTAAAAAGAAAATGGCAAAAGTTTAAATTTTTTTATCTAAAAATATTTTAGAGCTTTTCTTCATAAATATAAGAGCTAGAGACTTGAAATTTGAGTATTATATGTATTTTGGTGAACCAGACAATTTTTGTTATTGCATATAATTAGATTAGCATTGTAAAATTTTGTGTAAATAGACATTTTTGTTAGACAAATTTAAGTAAATTTTGTGTTAGGGATTTGCAGGAAGAGTTGCCCATTAAACCTCTAATAAACCCTTTGGTACATAGTTATCAAAGAAAAAAATATATATATATATAATTAAAAGGAATAAAATATATAAATTTTAATTGTTTTATTATCTAAATAAATATTTTTAAATTTGATTAGTTAATATTTTAAAAATGCATTTAGAAAGAATATTTTTATATATATAATTTGAAAAATAACCTGCATTTAGAGAATATAGAATATGCATTTATTTTATAAGTCCCAACTTGAGACTAAGCTATTTTCATACATATAAAGAGAATATACACTTAGAAGATATGCACTTAGAAGACATATACTTAGAGGACATGCATTTAGAAAGAGTTGACTATATATATATATATATTTTTTCTCTTAGACAAGTCTTGCTATCTCTTAAACTATCTAGCGGGCAAATATACCCACTAGAATATATTTTTTTCATATTTTTTACAATAACTTGAAATTTTATTAAGCATATGCCTCCCTATTTCTAAGCTAAAATAAAACTTTGAGATATTTTTAATCATTATTAAGTAAAATTTTTAATTTAACTTTAATAGCATTAAAGATATTTACTTTAAAATATTGCCAATTCTAAAATTTTATTATAAAATTTTTAAAATATTTTTTATTAATTTTTAAATTTTTATATATTTTCGTCTATAAAAAAAATTTTTGCTATTATAAAAAGTTAAAATTTTATTTATAAAATTATAAAAATTTTAATAATTAAAGTTATTTTTTAAACCAAATTCTACAATTTGTATCAAAATTATATGGGACTTATGCTTAGAATTTTAAAAAGTTTGTCAATGAATAAAGACAAAATTTTGTATTTTTTTAAAAAAATTTAATTTTTAAAAGTTTTACTATATAGACAACTTTATTTTTTTTTCTTACAATTTAAAAATAAATATTACTATTTTATAATCCTTATTTTTATATAAAATTTTTTTAAAATATTTTAAATTTTAATAAAAATAGATCAGAAACAACTATTTTAATATTTTAGCAGCCAAATATGCCCGCTAACTGCTGATGGTTTAAGGGATAACTCTTAACTACACTATTATATACCAAACTCTAAAAAGCAGTTACTTGAATACTTTTTGCACATGACCAAGCCCAGACTTCTAATCCTTTATTGAGGATCCAGATTTGACCACTATACCAACTTTTAAAGATATTAGATTATCTTATAGATAACAGAGATTTCATCTACCAACTAGGTGCCACTATGAGTTCATATAGCTAATAGTATCTTAATTCAGACTTAGATCTTATATTATGTCTTGTAACTTCAGTTATTTCAAATTGGGGTTTTAGCATATCTTGCTTCATAGCCACAGCTTCTCGGAATAAACTATTCTCTAAATATATTTATCTGTAAATATCCTGGGTTCTTTGTACCCCATGATGTTTTATTTCCATATTTGTTTTTCATTATTTTGCTGCTAGGAGGAATTGAACTAGCAACTTTATAATTTGCAACCTAGAGTATAACCACTATACTATCAACCTGCAAGTTGAAAATTTATTATATTTATTTATATAATATATAATTTGTATACTCTACTTTTGCTTTAAATGATTTGTTAATAGCAATATTCATTAATTAAACTTTTGAGATTAAACTTGTTGGAATTATATCTAAATTTGTATATTTTTTAGAGAACCAATATTTAGTAATACTGTAAATTTTCAAAATAGTATACATAGGTGTTATTTTGAATTTTAATCTGAATTAAGCTTAATTTGAGCCAAAATTTAAAATAATGCCCATGTCTACTATTTTGAGAATTTACAGTATAAACAGTGAATAAATATAAAACTAAAAGTGAATATAGATCTACTAATATTCCTGATCACAAATTCTATATATTTTTAATTCACTATAACATCTTATTTTTATTCATCCATGAATTTGTAGGCACGAAAACTTTAGCAAAAAATACTTGCCATGAAACATTGACTAATTTAAAATAATAACTAAAGGCAATTTAGTCCTATCAGCTAAACAAGTAAATACAACAGTAAAATATGATTTTTATATCTACAAGTCCAAATTGAAACTGTATTTGCACTACAATTATCAATTGTAATATTATTTGGAAGATCAAATGATAATGGGGTTTTATCCATATTACCTATTAAGGCAAGAGGATAATTATATTAAATTTGATTATATAGTACAAAACTTAAATACTCTTGCTGTTGCAATTGCAGATCTTTAAAGAGTTTTTGAGCTACAGATGTTTGATACCAATTGCTTAATTTGTAATGAATTATAAAATCATCAACCCACTTATTGCTAAATTTACTTTCAGTAATACCAGTGTAATAAGTAATATAAGGTAATTTTTAAAATAGCATTTTAGCACAAAGTCATAGGTTTTAGCTTACTGTATAATTCTTGTACCCAACTAAAAATAGCCTTCTTTAACTTAGGATATTTAAGTAGTTTTCTCTTATTCATTTGTTTGATATGAGGTGAGACATTCATTGACTCATTTTTTTGTTACACAAATCTCTTACTTGTTTTGGTTCAATATTAAATTTGGTAGCTGTTGCTTGAACACTCTGACTTGGGTGCTTTCAAAGTATGTAACAATAGCAAGTTTTTTACATGTATTCCATTGTCATCTTGTTTTATTTGTTACTCTTGTATGTCCACTTCCATGTACACATACCATTGCAACTTTAACAGGTTAACAGGTAAAAAAAATTGATTTCTTTTATATTGTGATTTTTCTACTATGATGCAATTATGTTGCGATTTATGATGTAATTTATGACATAGTCACAATATGTTAATTTATCAATTATATTAAATTATGAAGTATATACTGGTAAATCAATGCTATAAATTACATCACGTCACTTTCGTGAGCCACCTTGTATACGGTAATTTTATTATATATATGTAAAATTACAAAATACCCATGCTTGTATACCCCTGTATATAGTACCCGAGTGGGTACTATTCAATAAATTTGGTGGTTTATTGAAAAATACCTGGGTACTGTAGTCAGTGCAATACGGTACAAGTGCTTTATAAAATTTTGAGCGAGATACCTTGGCAGCCACTAAACCAAATTCGATGAATTTTTTTTATCTTAATTGTAAAATAATAATAATAAAAAACAATCAAATTTGATTAGATGGTTGCTGAGTTTTTTCGTTCAAAGTTACACAAAGTTTTTTCGTATTTATATTTTAATAGGCATTTTAAATTTTCTAAGACTTTGAATAAAGATAACCACCCAATCAAATTCGGTGGAATTTTTTTCTTTTTACTCTACAGGTTCTGAAGATTTGAGATAAAAAAAACTTTGTTGAATTTGATGTGTGGTTGCCAAGTTATTTTCGCTTAGTTATAAAAATTTTAATATGATATCTTCTAAAGAAAATTTTGGGCGATCATTGCTGTGTCGATAAGGAACCTATGTAATTATACCACAAAAAAATTTCCAGTCACATGACTTTATTGTGGCGCAAACCAATTGAATTTCAGGATCAGGTGTAACATAAAAAATTACGCTTTTTATATTTTTTTATAAAAAATCACCAAAACCTCTAAAATTTGTCTATGAAATCATCTTCTGCGCATTAACAAAAAAAATTTCTTGCAAATTTTTGATAATAGCAATGCTTTAACAAAGTGTCTAACCCAAACCTTAACTCTCAATTTATTACTTTAATTCCTTTGTTTTATTCGATTGTTTTGATTGTTTTGATTTTCACGTTACACCTGATCTCGAAATATAATTGGCTAGTGCCATAAAAAGTCACATGACCGGAAAATTTTTTGTGGGTGAGCTACTAACGTCTCGAAAAGGTGATAAGTCATGTGTTGCTGTGTCCGTAGCAATTCCTAAAAATATGCACTTTAACTTTTCTTGCATGCATCGTTGACATTAAAATTGGAATATGCATGTGACTATTAGGACTCGGTCCCAAGTCAGACTTGGGGCCGAGTCTAAATTAGAACTCAACTTCATGGAATCGAGTCAGACTTTTCACATCCCTATCGGCACGGAATATGAACTCGCATGTACAGTAACTGGGTTATTCACTACATACCCATACAATAACTATAAAGCATGCGACGTTATCTTAGCATTATAGTTAAAATCTCATAACGCTTTGACTAGATTTTTAATATACTAAAAGTCGCAGTAAAAATATTGATCTAAAGATTGGTTTCGACATTCTAATATATTACTATATTTAAGATATTTTGGAATGGCGAAAATATTTTATACATCCTACAGTAAAATATTTAGACATACTAAAATATATACTGCATCCTAAAATGATTTTTTGCTGCTTAGTTATTTTCGACATCCTAAATCATTTACGATTAGGCTATCTAAAAATAATTCAGCCATTTTAATTTTACGACGGGCATCATTAATTTGTGCGTGATTATATCATGATAATTTTAATTATACGTTAACTGGTAGATTAAATATTAAATTAATGCAAATACTGTATTAGCACCCATTATCTAGAAAAGGAATGACAATTAGAGTTTGGTTAGCAACATTAAAAATTACTTTCCAAAAAAATAAATCTTTTAATAATGTTAAAGGACAATAATATTACCATTGTCTCCATTGTCTTATTGGTCCTTTGCTGAAGCCCACAGTCAACAAGTCGGAAATATCCACAATTATTTTATAATAATAGTCAAGCGAAAATGATCACTTCCTGATTTGGTACCACATGATAAGGAGATTTTCTAGGCTAACGTTAAACGAACACAAGACCTTTTACAATAATAGTCAAGCGAAAATGTTCAATTCCTTATTTGGTACCACATGATAAGGAGATTTTTCTAGGCTAACGTTAAGGGAACACAAGACCTTTTACAATATAGATATTCTGCGAAAATGATCACTTCCTTATTTGGTACCACATGATATTGCAAAGATGGCGTTTATTGTTTTTACTGCATCATTGTGGTATCATCGGAGAATCAAATTTCTATTCTGCCATTATTTTACCATGTCACATTGATGCATTAAAATAAATAAATAAATAAAAAATAAAAATAGTAAAAAAATAAGTAGTAATGGAAGTCGCTATCACTCATTAAGCATAACTACAAAGTTACGTACGTAAGTGCAAACATGCAAAAAGATCTTATCTTATCTCTTAGTATCACACACCTGATTTTTTTTTTTGTATATAAGCATCTCTTCATAAACGTTTCTTTTTTTCCTTAAAATCGAAACTCTGCTCTTAAAAATTACATTATTCTGAAAGTTTCATGTAATTTGAATTGGTTAATTTTAACTGCGTCAAACCATCCTCTATTTAAAATTGATATTCTACCTCCATTCTTTGATCAAGAGTGTTATTATTTATTTTAAAAACTTGATTTAGTAAGAATTCTTGACATTTATCAATGCATTACTGGCAGTGTTGTTAATGTCCTTATTTGGAATCTTGAACCTCGGTTATTTAACCGGTTCAGGAAGACAAGACATTTTTTTGACCTGGTTCAAATTTATATTATAATATCCGATATAAAATTTTAACTTTGCATTTTCTATTACGAAAAAGTACATTCGAAAAATATGTTTTAAATAATTAGATACAAATAGATTAATAATAACTTATTTAATGATTGCTTTAAATGTCTTGACCTGGTTAATTTGGTTAAATAATCAATTCATTGGTTCAAATAGTTAATTATCATTTACCCGGTTAAATTGACAACGCTGATTACTGGACTCCATTATTAAAATATTCCAGGCTTGCAACATCTAATTACTCTTTAGCTTTGTACCACATCAAAAGCCCAACTTTCATCTAAAAGGTTTGATTCTGTAACTTTTGCGTTTGCGGAAACTTAAAAGGAATATTATTCTTGCTAACCACATCATCTCACGCAAATCAATTCGTGTTGTTCGACAGCTATTTAAACATCTCTACACGAAGCATGAACGATTTAATTGAAGAATGCCTAAATAAAGAAAATATCAAAATTTATGAATATTCTTGTTTCAAGGATGTTAGATTCATTGGAGAAGGGGCATACGGAAAAGTACAACGCGCTACTCTCAAAAGTGATGGAGTTATTGTCGCATTAAAATCATTTAAAAATATTGTGGATAACGAGGAAATTGTTAAAGAGGTGGTTTCTTTACTTAATATTAATCATCACGATAGATAATACATAGTAACCGCATAAAAAGACGCGACCACGTGACTTTAAACCAATTACGACACAGGTCAGGTGTAACGCTTTTTCAAAAAAAGTCGTTCTGTTTCTTAACAAAAAAAATTCCTTACAAAATTTTGCTATATATAAGCCGCCTCTAACCCTAAATCGAATGTTCACCTTTACCCTAACGCGTCAAGAGTTAATTTATTATTCGAAAAATGCATTTACGATCCGCGGTTTAAATTGGCCAATGGAATTTTAGCGCGTTCATCACGTGTTCGCGAAATTTTTATGCGGTTACTATGTGCAATGAATCATACAACCATAATGTTAATGATTTTTAATAAAATATCTGCGTAGCTTGTATTACATAATAGAGTGAGTATGTATTCCAATATTATACGCCTATACGGTGCTACTAAAAATGAAGGTAAAATCATCAATTTTATTTTTAAAATAAAAAATAAATTATTGCAAATAACATTTATGTGATATTATTACGTATGTGATAGATGAAACAAATCCGAGCTCTATACATTACATGCTCGTCCTTGAATATGCAGACAATGGAACTTTAAGATCATACTTGCAAAAAAACTTTAAACATCTTTCTTGGAATGATAAAATCGATTTTGCGTTACAAATTGTCAATGCAATTAAAAGCTTGCATGCTGAAGATATAGTACATCATGATCTGGTAATTTTCAAATACAACTTTGATTTTTACTATTTTTATCGGGCTTAACTATTTATCATTTTAATAGCATTCAAACAATATACTTGTTCATCAAAAGTGTATTAAGCTTTCAGACTTTGGGCTTTCAAAGAGATTAGATGAGGCGACAAATTCAAAACAAAAATGTTGCGGGGTTTTTGCATATATGGATCCACAGAGTTTTAGTATGCCGGGGAATGAAAATAAAACATTTAGTTTTAACAAAAAATCTGATATTTATAGTATTGGTGTTATTATGTGGGAAATATCGAGCGGTTATCCACCTTTTAAGAATGTTGAACATTATCAGCTTGCATCATTTATTCCATTAATTCTTGATATTAAAAGTGGTTTTCGAGAAAGTCCTATTGAAGGAACACCGCCGGCATATGTTAAGATCTATACAGGTATAAAAATTACTTATTGCATCATTTTTTATCTTTGAGGAAAATTCAAAAATAATTGTAATCAAAAATAGATTGTTGGCAGCATGATCCTAATGACCGCCCGGATATTCAACAAGACCTTTTAAGCCTACAAGACTTTTTAAGTACCAATGATGAACAAACTATGAGTAGAATTGGCCCATATACCCAGCAAATTCGGCAAGTTCCTTTAAGCCTGCAAGATTCAAGTACCAATGGTGAACAAGTTATAAATAGAATTGGTCCAGATATCCAGCATGCTCATCAAGTCCCTATAAATACCAATGGTGAACAAACTATAAATAGAAGTGCTCGAGATAGGACTCATATAAAATTTAGGCATCGGCTTATCCACCCGTTTATAAAATTATTAACCGGTGCTAACCTCAATTCACATCAGGCTAACACGGCAACTGATAGACATTGTCACAAGCCACAGAATAACAACCCTAATATCACGAAAAAATGGTGCATCCGGAAAATGTATGTCAGATTGGTGCGCCGCAATGGCGGTAGAAATTAGATTTTCTGAAGAAATACAGTCGATCCTCCAAAGTCACCTCATATATAATCACATTTTTATTTAGGTCAAACTATGATTTAATTTATAAGAAAAAAAAGCTCCATATAAGTACAACCTCTTTATATTCGCATTTTAAAAAAATTACTATGTGCCCAACTGTGCGATTGTATGGGAGGACGACTGTATCTAATTTATAGATTTAGCATTATTTACTGCATCCAATAAGTCATATTCTCGTTAATGCTGGATATTTTAAAGATTAGAAGATAAGATTCTTTATTTATCGTTGTTAATCACATTTTTATTTAGGCAAACTATGATTTAATTTATAAGAAAAATGCCTCTATATAAGCACAACTCCTTTATAAACGCATTTTAAAAAAAATTTACTATGTGCCCAACTATATGATTGTATGGGAGGACGATTGTATTTAATTTATAGATTTGGCATTATTTGCTGCAGCCAATATGTCAGATTCTCATTAATATTGAATATTTTAAGCTTATTCTTTATTTATCGTTGTTAGTAGATAGTGTCGTGGTTTAATTTGATACCCGGGATTTTATGGTGCTGATGATCGGGTATATCAATGGCGTGATCGGAACTTGCATAATGCATGATTTAATTAAAAAGCAGATAGTCTAATGCGTGTAACTGGATATATTAATATCCGGGTTTAATCTTGTAATATTTAAAGCGAACATAATAATAAATGAATTAGGCAGTGAAGTTTAGCTTTGGCATTAGTAAAACACTATTTACATATACACTAAGTGGTCGTCCATACATATTAAAGTATTAAAATTGATGATGGAGTACCTGTATGATACTCCAGTCATCATATATTAGCCAAGCGAGTGAAGATTGATAATAAAGACCTACGAATACACAGAGGTCAAAGAAACTCCATGACAATAGACTGTCAATTTTTCTATTTTAAAAAAATTTCCCAGTCCAAAATTTCTTAATACTGTACAACAAAGAAAAAAATCAATTTTATTAGATTATATATAAGCATGATGGAAAATCATTTTGATTGGCCAATGTGATACAATTGAATGTAGATCATTACACAAATTATTTATATTAGTTTAAAGTACTTCCTATATGAAAGCATAATATAACAAGTGGCTGAGCATGCCACCTACAATTAAAAAATTTTTAGAATATATTGGTCTTTACTTTACTAGTAGTTGGCGGATTTAATCAGATATAATCAGATTCCCCAGGAACTTTTGCTAATGCTGAATATTTACTAATAACTAAATAGTAAATAGTTAAGTAGACCCATAAGATTTTTTTTGAAGTTTTTTTTGGGTGGTCTTTTTTTCAAACTGTTATTCTTATGGCTAATATAGTCTTGAAAACTTGTATTCAAGATCTAGAAAATTATAAGAAATATCTAAATAATACTTAATTTGGTTTTTTACTAGGTGTATAGTGTAATGCATATCAAGTATAAAAAAAAAAGTAGTTAAAATTTGCTGAAGATAATTCTTGCAGGTAATGTTATTTAATAATAATTATCATTATTGTTTAAATTTTAACTACCAATTTGTTTATATATTAATTTTATTGTTTAAATTTTAACTACCAATTTGTTTATATATTAATTTTATTAATTTTATTATCTCTATTTCAAGTCTAATATTATTAACTCTAGTTGGTTTTTATCCAACATTGTAGCTTATTATTTTAATGTTTAAACATCTTTGTCTAATATTAATTCTGAGCACATCTCTACATATACATTGTTGAATAATTAATTTAGCAGTTTCCAAATCAGGTCTAATTTTTTCTAATTATAGAAATAGAGTATTAAAAATTATTATATCTATAACAAAATCTAAAATTATATCATCTACAATAATTATATTGCACATTGAAATGATTCTAATTACACTCAAGTTGAAAAATAATTCAAACATACTTAGAATACCACTTATATAAATTATTACATACCCATTCCTAATATAATTAAAAATCTACAACAATTTAATTTAACAAATTAATTTAGAATTCATAAAAATTTAATTCAGCATTTCTAATTTACATAATATTAAAAAAAAATTTAAAAAAACACTATCATATTTATACTATATATTTTTTTAATAAATTTTACTTACCAAGTCCAAATGTGCTCATACTATTAAGTCTTTCTTTAACAACATATTAACAAAATCCACCAAACCAAACAAATATGACATATTATAACTATCAATTCTAATAAGATCCATTCTATATTGTATCATCTAATGTTATGAGAGATATTATTATTGGATCTGATAATAAACTCTGTATCACATTAAAGCCAAAGCTACTGATAACAACTGAATTCAAAATAACATTACCTGCAAGAATTATTCTCAGCAAATTTTAACCACTTTTTTTATACTTAATATATGTTACTGCATTACATTATATGCATAGTAAAAAACTAAATTAAGTATTATTCAGATATTTTTTATAATTTCCTAAATTCTGAATACAAGTTTCAAAACTACATTAGCATAAGAATAATGCTTTGAAAAAAAAACACTCAAAAAAACTTCAAAAAAGTTTTATGAGTTTACTTAACTATTTAGTTATTAGTAAATATTTGGCATAAACAAAAGTTTTCAGAAAATCTGATTATATCTGATTAAATCTACCAACTACTAGTAAAGCAAAAGACTAATATATTTTAAAAATTTTGTAATCATAGGTGGCATGCTTAGCCACTTGTTATATGAGCAATTACACTTTTATATAGAAAGCACTTTAAACTAACATAAATAATTTGTATAATGATCTACATTCAATTGTATCATATTGGCCAATCAAACCGACTTTCTATCAAGCTTTACATGTATGTTGTAAAAGTGTAACTAACTATCTAAAGCTAAAACTAACTAATAACTACTCTAAAACACTTAAACTATCTAATCTACAACTCTAATACTCCAAAAGTATCAGCAAAACTCCTAGAACCTTATAGTAGAAGGCTTTGAATAAAGGTGTAAAGGACTTGGTCCAAGTTACAAGATCTCTTGGGTCTTGTAATGTGTTACCAAGATTAATATAAGTCTTCTTGTCTTTATACTTCTTATAATATTTTATTATTATCAGAAAATTCAACACTAATATTCTATATTCTTCTTTCTTTAACATACTGCGTATTTTAGAGTCACATGTATAGCACTTTGATAGCTGCAGCTTTCTGGTAATTTAATATTCAACTTTAGATAGCAATATCAATTTCGATCATCAACTTCGATATCACAAGAAGGTATATTGACTAAGTTCAGATGTTCAATTACTTAACTATGTCATGAGTACCTGTATCGGTGATAATTAGATTTCTAATTGCTAATATGTCATGAAAGTATCTTAGTGGTGATCAGTGGATCTAAGATTTTTATATTATAGAAAAGAATTATCTGTAGATTGGAGGCTTAATTCGGCTTAATGTCATGAGATTCTTATGTCACAAAGATCAATTTAATTAATTGATCAATTGTTATACTAATTAGTAATAACAATACATTATAAGTATATGCTTAAGGGGTTCAATTGTAATTGATTTTTTTACTTAATTTCTTTCAAGGATAGAAACTTAAGAGACAAGGTTTTTATTAATCAGAGAACTCAATCAATACTTCTACTTGAATTTCAAAGATCAGGACTTAATTAAAATTATAACGAATTACAAGTTTATTAATAATTCTGTAAAGAAGAATAGAGTTTTGGAAATGTTTTACTTGGAGCAAAAGGAAAAGATAAGTAACTTCTACTATTAGGACTTCGAAGTTATTGGTTTTTGAGTTTTAAAACTCTATAGAGTTTTCTTTATTTTTATGCAAAGACATTGCATTATATAGTTTTTTACATTGCTATAGTTTTAATGGCTTAGCAACTAGTTTACATATACTAACAAGTTTTTCTTCATTGAGAGGATGAAGAAAATGAAATAAATGAAATAAATTTCATTTAATTCACTTTCAAAATTTTCTTGACCTTCGATTCTACCAAAATAGGCATAGAGTTTACAATCTTACTAATTTATATCATTACTATATTGGCTAGTTATGCTAAGCTTATATTTTTAGAATGTAATGATACAATGTTACAAAAATAATGAAAAAAATAAAAATAGAAAAAAAATAAATTTAGGGGCCACAGGAGCCCCTCACAACATATATACGTACATACGTACATAATAGAATTTATATTTTACATGTTAAATTAAATGCAAATTTGCTAGATTATATATGATTTTGGATGCAGGTTACTAATTGTTCAAAGATAACTTCAAAAAATAAATCATGTAGTTTTCTTTTTATTAATTTATTTTCCATATAACACTATGTTTACTACTAAATTATCACTTTCAGTAAATTAATGCTGCTTAAATATTTTCTTTTCCATGTTTATGGCAATGTATATACGAAGCTTTTAAGATTATTTATTAATGTTATGGTAGGGTGTGTAATGGCCTATTAAAATCAAACATAGACAGGATCACTAATGATCATTACTAATTGCAGATTTTTTATGGTATCGATGCACATATATCAATCTTATTAAAACAAAAAATTACATTTATTGAAATAAATAATTAACTAAATAGAATAATATTTTTTTTTAAATTGAACCTCAAGACTAGCTCTACACTGAAATAGAGCTATTTTTTTAGAATTTATTTAAAATTCACCAGGGTGAAATTCACTGGCCTAAGAATTGTTAGGGTTAAGTTAGAGTTAGGGTTAGAGTATTAAAATTTTTTTTTATATAAAATAATATAGAGCTAATAAAAGGTTCTGATCTTAGTTCTTATGAGGTTTTTAGGGGTTCTGAACATTTTTACTTAGAGTACCCAATCCCATTTACTTAGTACATTTTTGAGATACAGCACCCCCGGTGAGTGTTAAAATCGACCATTTTTTTAATATTTTTATAAAAAATATTTATAATACTAATAATTAGTGTTATTGGTTTTAACTGTTGGTATTTTTTACTTTTTTTAAAAAAAAAAGATTTAAAAAATAGCTCTATTTCAGTGTAAAGCTGGTTTAGAGCTTCAATTTAAAAAAAAATAACATATTATTTAATTATTTATTTATTTTAAAAATGTAATTTTATTTTAGTAAAATTTATAGCAATTATATTAATGTGTATATAGTTTGATTTACATTTTCAATTATATTAGATCATAAAAACTTAATAAATTGAGTTCTATTACCGTATATTGCCGAAAATAAGCCACCTCCGAAAATAATCTAC